AAAACAATAGCAAGATACTCATCTATACCCTCCTACCTACAGCAAGGAGATAAAAGTTATTTAACATGATGGAATCATTTATTTCCATTATTACAGTTGATTCCAAACAAATAATTACAAACTACACTCAAATGATTTTCCAAATTTGAAATACTCTCTAGAAGACAAGCACCATGTTAAATAGGTGATTTATTTTTATTATTTTTTATTTTTGTTTTATTTTTATAAATAAAGAGATATGGGATCATATGAGAAAAAGGCATACGGGAAAAAATAAGAATGAACAACGCTCCTAGCACGGTTAAAGAGTCCAATTATAGTCAAACAAGCAGCGACATTTCTGTAAATAAGCGGATTTTTGATTTTTCACGCGAAGATATTTTAGAAATTGTGCAAATTTGCATTGTTGCGATAATGTGCAATATTACATGCATTAAAGTGCAGATTGTCTAACAATAATATGCAGTATGTATAGTGATATTTTTAATGTGTGGTGCCCAACGCGATATGGTGCAATGCACTGTACATTCAAGTGCAATTACTAAAATTTTATTAAATAATAGATTTAACCCATGAACTAATAATTAAAATTTATAAAATTGCAATTAGGTCCCTCAAACATATCTAATTTAAAAAAATCGTCCAGTCCCAAATCCAACTCTCGCCGGCGAATTTTTTAAAGCAATCACCGACCGCCGTGCGTCTACAGCATCCGTCAGGGGTTGTCGGCAGGTCCAACCGTTGGGATGCGATAAGAGGACGTCGGAGAGGCCGAATGTGAATTCAATTTTGACGTTGGGGGGAGAGACCGCATGGCATTTGCAAGGTGGCCGATCGATTAGGGCTCCAAAGTGAGAGGTCTGCTTCGATGAGATTGGTTAGAGCTTTCATCGATTGATTAGGTTTTCTGCTAATCAATTAGATCCATCCTCGTTCATCAGTCTCCTTGGACGGGTCGACGACAAGTGGTGGGCAGCAGCGCGGTCGATTGGTGGTTAATTTACTCCCAGCTAGAGGCGGCACACTTTGAGCTCGGCGGCTGAAAACGGCGGTGGCGACAGAGGAAGGTAAGTGGCTCAGGCAGGATGAAGGACAACTGGTTTGCATTGGGCGACGGGCGACAAACGTCGACCGGATTGATTGCTGGTGGGCAGGGTGGTGATTGTGTGTGATATGTGTTTGCGTGTGTGTGTGAGGGAGTGTGGGGTCCACTAGTGGGTCGATGTGTGTGTGTGTGCATGTGTTGAGTGAGTTAGACAGGTAATGTGTTGTCGGTATGGCCCACATGTGGGTTTAATTGTGTCTAATATCTAAATTATCCTTAATAAATGTAAAAAAAATAATTTTTTTAGATGTTAAATCATCAGATCCGATGGCTATAATGTATTCTTATTTCTTTCACTGCAACAAAATACCAGAAAGCAAAATACTAGAAACTTTATGAACCATTGAATACGAAGCGCTTTGAGATTGTAAATGGTATTGTGGAAGTTGAAGGAGTAATTGATGCTTCAGTGGACCAGGGAGATGTTAAAGCAAATAAAGATAAAGGTGTGCTCGACTTCTGGCTGACAACAATGAAGACAAATGATATATTGACTGAGGAGATTTCATTATGAAGATGCTTTGAAGTTTCTCATGGATACAAAGTGCTTGAATTGTGGGGCAGTCGAAGACTAGCTCATGAATCGCCACTCTCATATTCGGCATCCTCATAAGGGTATCTATAGTTCATAGGTGCAATTACGCTTTCTCAGACACATGTCTGTCGACTGTCTATAGTTCATGCTTTCTAACTAAAAAAGGTGAGATGGAGAGTGATGCGTCGAGTGTTTGACTTTTTCACCGTTTGCCTTTATCATCCTTATCTCTGTTAATATCCATTTTTCATTGTTTATCTAGGTAGAGTGGTTGATGCTTAGTTTAATAATGTGTTTGTGTATATTGTTTTGTTCAGAAAAAACAAAAATGAGAGATCATTAGATATATATTTTTTTTATAATTTTTTATTTTGCTTTTCTGTTTTATTTTTGTACACATACATACATATATATATATATATATATATATATATATATATATA